TTATCGAACGCAACCGATGCTAATATATCTTGCAAAGTACTATCGTTATCCTTCAACTCAGCTTCGGCTGTCTGTACACAATAAACCAATGAAAACGATTAAGTTGTGTATGAAACAATTGTTAAATATAAAAGGTAAGCAGAATAGAGTATAATATATACATACGTTGCACATTTTTTCTTTATCCAAAAACTCTTTCATGGAAGAACTCAGAGACAAAATCTCAGGAGACAAAATTGGTGTCTCCGCTTTCTGTATTTCCACAGATTTTTTTTGAATACCTACATCCAATTGAGTAGTCGGCTTCTTCAACCACCATTGTTCCTTTTTACTCTCTACGGATAATGGATCCGGTTGTTCGATAGGCTTTGCTTTTGGTTTCTCTTTAACGTAGATAGAATTTTCCCTTATACTAAAGCTGATAGACGATCCAGGAATATCTTCCACTGTCGATATCGTCTAGGGCCGACAAAGCACACAATTGTAATTATTTTAATTAATCCGTAAAATACGAACCGTATCGATTGTTCACTCGTAAAAATGTCATTTTATGTTGAGTTTTTTCAAATTCACGTACTCTCTCAAATTATCATATAAAAATTGATGCCATTGGGAAAAGAACATGGTACGTAAATAGCAACGTAATTATAAGCATTGGATATAATTAGATAAAAATTCCCAACAATGTCCCTATTTAATATTTAAATAATTCGCAAATTCAAAAAATATCATTAGCATCAAAGTTCGTAAATACAGTTGATCGATCCGATCCTCCGATAAATTTCATAGAATTAGGTTAGGTGTTGGCACAATCGTGCTATCATAATGCTAAATCTAAAACTTTTCAAACTTACATCGTCAATTGGAGTTGACTGCTTTTCATCGTCAGACATTTTTCTCACTTCTCTTATAATTATTCGGGAGAAGAAACACTAAGATAATGGGGCAAGAATAACATTTTGACGGCGTCACCTGACAGTGCTAAACTTTTGTTTGTTTGTTATTACGTTCCTCCGCCGTTTCCCCAAGACTACATAACACCGTCCTTCTCTTCTTTCTCCTCAGCCCCGTATTTTCGATTATTTAAAATGGCAGTACTGTTTCGGAAGCTGTATAATCGTATCGTCGAATCTTAATTGAAATCTGTAAATCCAAGGCTAACCAACGTGAAAAAGGGGAGCTCGTGCTTTTTTGTTCGTTTGTTTGTTTGTTTTTTTTCTCTCTTTTCTTCTCTATAGCCACTCTAATTGACCGTTATAAAGAAAGGGGTGAAATGAAAGTATGTGCACGAAGGCATTTATTTATATTTAAATTCTTCATTATACATCTCATTATACGAGCTATCAAATAGAGATATTAATTACCGTAGAATTGAAATTAGGGCTTTGAAACTTTTTTTCAAAAGACTTGCTACAAATATTTTGTACTTCAATTTTTTGAATTATAATGCTTAGGTGACGATCGTACAAAAATTGCCCTATCAATTAAACATTCTTTTAAGTGTTCGTTTAAATGCCACGTAATTGCGTAATTGTGCGCAAAAAATAAATATAAATTATGCTGAGAATTGCTCGAGAGCGCAATGCTGATTGACGTTAAATTTCTCGCCGTATTAATACGTCAGCGTTCGAATATCTGACGATTAGTACGTTGATTTTAATGTTTTACTAATGACTACGCTTTCATCAAGGCACAACAGCCCCTCCGCTCTATCGAACAAATAACTTATACAATCAACGAAAATGTCCTTCGATTTTTTATTTATAGAATATCCC